AACAGCCAGGTTCATCCCGGCGACTTCCTTCAAGCACGTTGGACCAATGTTTGAAGTCACATGGATGTCTTTCCTCACAGCTCTGAGTGGTCAAGCCCAAGAAACGCACAATCTTGACACCATCAGGCTCTGTATGGAGGGTCAGAAGCTGGCTATCCGCATCGCTTGTCTGTTCGATCTGGAGGACCCTCGTCAGGCCTTCGTCCAAACCCTGGCACGCTTCACCAACCTGTACAATCTCAGCGAGATGAAAGCCAAGAACGTCGAAGCACTCAAGGCACTACTTGATGTTGCGCAGAATGAGGGCAATCTGCTCAAGGAGTCGTGGCGGGACGTCCTTACTTGCATCAGTCAACTTGACCGATTCCAGCTCATCGCCACGGGCGTCAATGAAGGTGACGTGCCTGACGTGCTCAAGACGCACAGTCAGCAGCAGCGCACCCCAGCACACAATCGCAAATCGTTGCACGTACCCAACCGACCGCGACCACGCGCATCGATCAGCAGCGGAGCATTTCAAACAGATATTGCCGAAGAAAGCAGGTCTGCGGACATGGTCAGAAGCGTGGATCGTATCTTCACAAATACCGCCAACCTCTCGGGAGATGCTATTGTGCATTTTGTCAGAGCCCTTACGCAAGTCAGCTGGCAGGAAATCCAGTCATCTGGTCAAAGCGACTCCCCCGAACATACAGTTTGCAAAAGCTTGTCGAGATTAGTGGATACAACATGACCCGTGTCCGTTTCGAATGGACCAACATTTGGCAAGTACTCGGCGAACATTTCATTCAGGTTGGCTGCCACAACAACACGAACGTCGTCTACTTCGCCCTGAACTCTTTGCGGCAATTGTCCATGCGCTTCATGGAGATCGAGGAGTTGCCAGGTTTCAAGTTCCAGAAGGACTTCCTGAAGCCCTTCGAGCATATCTTGAGCAATGCAACGCAGGTGCCGGTGAAGGACATGGTTTTGCGCTGTCTGATCCAGATGATTCAAGCTCGAGGAGAGAACATCCGCTCTGGCTGGAAGACAATGCTTGGTGTCTTCACCGTTGCGGCTAGAGAACCTTACGGTGAGTGAATTTCTATGTTGAGAAGGATTTCCACTAACTGTCACTAGAATCCATCGTCAACCTCGCTTTTGATAACGTCACTCAAGTCTACAACGATCGCTTCGGAGTTGTAGTCTCACAAGGCGCTTTTGCCGATCTCATTGTCTGCTTGACAGAGTTTTCTAAGAATCAAAAGTTCCAGAAGAAGTCGCTTCAGGCCATTGAGACTCTCAAGATGTCTGTGCCGAAGATGCTAAGGACTCCAGAGTGCCCGCTCAGTGTCAAGACCAACGTGGCTAAGGACATGCCGCAAGCTGAAAACTTACCTAAACAGCCAAGCCGACAGACACAGGAGGAGCAGTATTGGTTCCCGGTTCTTTTCGCGTTCCACGATGTATTGATGACCGGGGAGGATCTGGAAGTACGGTCAAGGTATGTTCAACTGGCCGAGTCGTCCACGCTCTCGTATACTTACACATACCGGTAGGGCACTCAATTACCTGTTCGATACCCTGACGAGATACGGCCGTGACTTTCCTCGAGACTTCTGGGATACGCTCTGGAGGCAGCTTCTCTATCCAATCTTCATGGTTCTGAAGTCCAAGTCGGAGATGTCGAAGGCTCTGAACCATGAGGAGCTCTCAGTGTGGCTTTCCACTACCATGATCCAAGCATTACGGAACATGATCAGCCTCTTCACGCACTTCTTCGAATCGCTTGAGTACATGCTCGATCGCTTCCTCGACTTACTTGCGCTCTGCATCTGTCAAGAAAACGATACGCTGGCACGCATCGGAAGCAACTGCTTGCAGCAGCTCATACTGCAAAATGTCACAAAGTTTACGCCAGAACATTGGGAGAAGATCGTCGGTGCCTTTGTCGATCTTTTCGCACGCACAGAAGCAACAGCACTATTCTCTGCTGCCACCTCATCCTCCTATCGAAAAGACTCTTCGGCCTCGGTAAACGGACAGCCGAAAACTCCATCAATCGGCACAACTGCCACTCCGGATACACCTTCTGCCGATCCTTCAGCGGCACCTTACGAGAACCCTCTCAAGATCAATGGACTACCTTCTCAATCCTCATCCACCGTCAACGGTGACCAAAACTCTCCACCCCCTATCACGCGAAACCACCTCTTCCGCACCCGGCATCTCATCCCCTGCCGAATCCGAGCTCGAGTCTTTCCACCCACCATCCCAAACCCAAACTGCACCTGTCGTCGTCACCGCCGCACGCCGCAAGTTTTTCAACCAGATCATCACAAAATGCGTGCTACAGCTTCTCATGATCGAGACAGTCTCCGAGCTCTTCTCCAACGATGCAGTCTACGCTTCCATCCCCTCCCACCTGCTTCTCCGTCTCATGGCACTTTTGAAGAAGAGCTATCAGTTCGCGAAGCGCTTCAACGAGGACCGAGAGCTGCGCACGCGTCTCTTCCGCGAGGGCTTCATGCGTCAACCGCCCAATCTTCTCAAACAGGAGTCCGGGTCCGCAAGCGTGTACGTTAGTATCCTGCTGCGCATGTACACGGATACATCGCCTATGCGCGTCGCTTCGCGCGCGGAGACGGAGAAGGCACTCATTCCGCTCTGCGTCGACATTGTGAGCAGCTACATCGAGCTTGACGAAGAGACCCAGCAGCGCAATATCGTCACTTGGAGGCCCGTTGTCGTTGACGTCCTGGAGGGATACGTCAGCTTCCCGGCTGAGGAGTTCGAGCACAACATCACCGTCTTTGCGCCCCTGGCCGTCGGGCTCATGAATAGAGAAATGGGCATGGAGTTGCAGAGAGCGGTTCAGGGCGTCTGGGCTAGGATTTGTGAAGCGAAGCTGGGTGTCAGGAATGAGGGCTTGGTCAAGATGCCGAGTTCGCCGAGTCGGGCGGGTTTCGCGACACCAAGAAGGGGCAGCAGAGGAATGTTGAGATAAACGGCGGAGCTTTCTGGCGGTCATCGGTTTGCTGCACGGCGTTTATGGGGACTGTTTCTTGAAAAGGGATGCCGTGTTTGCATAAAGTGAGCGCGCGACCTGATACGCGGGGTCCTTTGGCGTTCAAAAGGCTCGATCTTGTAGATATATATGTTATGTATCCATTCACTGTGCACTTGGATCGCACAGGTTCTTTGCGAAGTTGACGTTGCGCTCTTCTGCTGAGGGAAAAAAGGTTGCTATAGCGCAAGCATGTGCCCTTGGGCCTTACGATGATATTCGGCTATATATGAAGCGGTCTGAAGTGGACTCCACGAGACGTCCGGGAGGCTTCGATGCATACCACTGGTACAGTACACACTATTGCCCATCATGCTCTACATAAAAGCCGCATTGGAAGCTTTGCTTCAATGACTTCAGACCTCGATCTAGTGCTGAGACAGCTGATTCTTTACTAAGGCATACAGACAGAAAGCCTCTTCATTGCTACACGAACTGATATCGAAGAACAACTCTCCCTCAGCCTTGCCCACGCATGGTGATTCCTGCAGACGTAAAGCTTGTACTCGCTGGACCCTTAGATTCTACTATGGCTCAGCAATGGTATGCTCTCTTCAGCTGGTACTTTGGTATTCGTGACTCTTGAACCATTACTCACATAAGTTGTTAACTGTGGACGACTGTTGCATTCCCTCCACGTAGCGTAGTTGAAAGCCTACATAAATGCTGGAAAACAAGAAAGCGGATGCCACACGAAAGCGTTCTCCAAAGACGTGAAAAGGCAGGTCTCATGAACGACCATGACAGCAAAAGGTCATACCCGGGATCGAACCGGGATTACCGGAAGATGAGAAGGTTTGCTCAGAATCCGAGGTGCTAACCATTACACTATACGACCGATGGTATGGGGCCAAAGTCATTGCTTGACGTTCAGGAGACAAAATTATCATCAAACATAACATTTTCACCCATGACGAGAGACGTTCATTGAAGCAAATCAACATCGCTAGAGGTTGAGACTTTTGTCCTCCTAGCCTAATAGGCTTTTCATGTTCGGAGCGGAACTAGGGACCTTATCAGCCAAGCAATAGTTAGTTCGTGTTTCTTTTCTCTAGAGTAGGACCTGCATAATGATGTTCTAACGATAGATAGGCGTCTGCTAACTTTAATGAACATGACAAGTAATCTTGCAACCGTAGTGAGCCTGTCTTCGTTGCTCTAGTTTGTGGCTAGACGTAGGCCTGAGCATGGACCAACGTCCCTTGATGAGGGCGTAACGCCAAGGCCTGTAGTTGAGGGTCACGTGCAGCCGCGAGTGAATTGAACCGCATATTCAACACCGGGCAGTGCTCGAAACAGTATAAAACCCTTACCACTTGATTTGCTTTGCCGGTGCGGTCTGAAACAAACTAACATCACGACATGTCAAATAGAAGCGTAGGGTGTAGATTGCTCAGTCGAAATCCCTTACGATCCATGTTCGTTTCCGCTTCGCTTAAAGCAGCGCCGAACACAACAGGCCAAGACAGCGCAAAAGCGAGCCCGCCCCAGCAAGGGCTTTCCATTGCAGGAGAACGATGGACAAAATAATATGATGACGAGGGTGGGACTCGAACCCACGCTCCGAAGAACTAGTAAATGCCCTGGGTAGACCAGGTAGTGCCTGAAACTAGCGCCATAACCACTCGGCCACCTCGCCTAAGATGAAAGAGCTCAAGCCCAATAGCGTTGTATATCCATTGCCGTCGAACGATAGAACATCTAGTCTTCGAGCGTTGCACATCTGTAGATGGCCCCCGTACAGGTTGCTCAGGGACAGCGAGAGCCCGTCGCAACCTCTGCTTGTTTGGTTCGCAGGAAACTGTAAGTCTTTTGTGCCCTAACCACGGCCCACTTTAGTCACCGCTGCTGGCTCACGGCTGCACTCTGCCGTGCTCGCTTGAATGAGAAAGATTTGATGACAGGACTTCCATCCACCACGCGTCACTAGAGAACCGACACCCGAGCAAAAATGTGGACAAACTGGGAATTGAACCCAGGACCATTCCTAAATTGCGTAATCAGATATGCGAAAGGAATATCATACCCCTAGACCATTTGCCCTGGCGTGGTGTCCAGATTTTTCTCGTGATTACATATCTCTAAGAAAAATCCCTAACCTTAATCTGGCTAGATAGATCCGAGAACGAATTGCAGTGTGTCAATCTGTATGAAGTGACAGCGAGTGAATGTCCAGTAGGAGTGTACGACGGTGTTTCAAATTGTGGATGCTCAGTTGATTGAAATCGTGGTTCGTGGGCCGTTTAAGGTTTGGAGAGATGCCGGCACAGAAATCCAGCATTGGACTCGGCGCAGCCTTTTTCTTTTCTCTTGATGCTGGTCGTGTTGCATACGCGTATGCTCACGGATGCCCCAAGTCCTGCCATTTGATGCGTTCAGTCGACAGCTGATCCGGAGACGAACCGGTGAAGACGCCCGTCCCTTGCGTGCCAGGAGATCTCAAGAAGAATGATCGAGAAGGACTACACTCTCCTTCCGCCGGACCGCGATTCCGTAACCACCACGTTTACGCGTGCGCTGCCAAAGATCGAACTGCATGCGCATCTGTCCGGATCAATCAGCCGGCAAACCCTCCATGAGATATGGCGGCGGAAGAAGGCTGCCGATTCTTCGTTCCCTTTGGAAGATCCATTGATTGCGCTGCCGTCGGGCAAGACGGAGGTTGATGTTGTCACGCAAGTACCGCGTCTCCTTTGCTTCTACCATCACTGTATATTATGTCGAAGCTTCGGACATGTTGCTCTTGTGCGGGCAGGATATGAAAGCGAAACAGCTCGCACGATATCATATCCGTGTTCAGTCCATGTGCACATACGAGCGTGGTGGCAGCGCACATGTTGTTAGAGAACACGAGTGCTTGGTATCAAAGAGACCATGGCTAATGCTTTCGCATAGTTTCTTTCCTTTGTTTGACAAGTATATATACAATCTCGTTACCACGATTGAGGACATCCGGTTGAGCACTCTGTCTGTGCTTCGTGACTTTGCCAATGATGGTGTGGTATACCTTGAGCTCCGCACAACACCGCGTTCAATCCCGGATGCCGGAGTAACAAAGGAAACTTATGTCTCCTCGGTCCTCGATACAATTGACGCCTTCAATGCGCAGCAGGACAAGATCAAGACATATCTCATCCTCTCGATCGATCGGCGCAACAACACAGATCAGGCAGACGAAGTGGTCGACCTGGCGCTGAGGTACACCGACAAGGGCGTCCTAGGAGTTGACCTTTGCGGAAATCCCCTCTGTGGAGATGTTTCCATCTTTCAACCGGCTTTTGCACGCGCTAAAGCCGGCGGTCTCAACATTGCCCTTCACTTTGGAGAGGTACCGACCAGCGGAACGAAGGAGGAGCTGCAGACATTGCTCAGCTATGGACCACAGCGGCTCGGCCACGTTATTTGCGTCCCGGAAGAGATCAAAAGCGAGGTCCTGAGGAAGAGGCTGGCGCTTGAGCTGTGTTTGAGCTGCAATGTCCTTGCAAAGCTGAGTATGGGCGGGTTTGCTGACCACCATTTCGGCGAATGGAGGAAGACCAACTGCCCTATCGCGCTTTCAGTGTGTGTCCCTGTTGTATCCTTATAAACTTGTTCCGTTGTTCTTCAAGTTGACTGTTGTTCAGACGGACGATGTCGGTATTTTCGAAAGTTCGTTGTCGAACGAGTACTTTCTTGCTGCACAGCACTTCGACCTCACGTACTCGGAGCTCGTTGTGCTAAGCTACAGCGCAGTGAACGCCATCTTCGGCGGCGAACAGGAGAAGAGAAGACTGAGGAGGTTGCTAATCACCTTCGGCAACACCATTCCTGGCTGAAACCTTCCGGTGGGTTGTCTTTTCATGCTCCCTAGGGTATGAAAGTTCCTCCAGTCTCTTTGTCCACCCATGTGACGAAGGAATTCAAGGCTTCGGAGCTGGACAAGCTGGCTCAGACCCCTGGTTGGACGTGAAGTGAGTAGATATCCAACCGCTGCATACTGACGGACTTGCTGACTCCGTAATGCAGATCAGAAAGATCGTCCGTACGGCGCAAGTGCTCGCTCGAAACGAGCAGGAATGGTTGACGATTGAGACTGTTGAGGGAGTGATTGAGATTACTGAGAGCTTTGAACGTGATCTCCAGGGTAGTGAGGCATCAGGCGGCTATGCGCGGGTATATCTGAACAGCTGCATCCCGAGGGCTTTCGATCGCGAGATGAGACTGGCTCGCTGTGAGTCGCTGCTATGCATGGAAAATACGTTATGCTTTGTACAGATAGCTGCTCAACAGATCTCTTACACTCTGACCATTCCCGCTGCCACTCTACACGGCCGGCGCATGCAACTGTTCCTCTCCTTGATCCTCCGTGGGCATCTGGTTCCGTCCCCAAGCATCCTCGATAGCTTCTATCGCTCTCCTCAACGCTTCGTCCGTCATTCCTTGCGTCACTCTACTATCCTGCGCCCGTTGTATAAGATCCCAAGTCCTCTCATCCCCCTTCCCGCCAGCGCCTGGCCTAATGCACTCACCGTATTGGGCCTAGCAATCATTTTCAGTTTATCCATCTCATCGAAGTAGCGCCAAGCCAGCTCCAACTGTCCCGCCACTATGAAAACAAGAACCAGTCTGTCGTACGTGAGGGAAGTTGGCTGGATGTGCAGGGCCAGCAGTTCCGAGACGAGGAAGAGCGCGGTCTCGTGTGCGGGCGGAGAGGCGAGGCGAGTACCTTTGAGCAGGATATTAAAGGTTTCGATGTTCGCCATGGACTTGTGTGGCACATCGGATACGATGCGCTCGAACTCGTGTAGCGATTTGTAGACGGTGAGTGCGGAGGCGAGATCGTCTCGCTCGTTGATGTGGAACTCGATTACCATGTTGAGCGCGGCGATGGGCACCTCGCGTCCGGCTTTATGGAGCGAGGCTAGCACTTCCATAACTTCATCAATTTCGTGCGGCCGGCGTTTGAGGTATCTGTAAATGGGCCGTACGGTAGCGGCGGTGGGCGGTAGTTTGGTGCTGGCCATGATAGTGAGCACAGCCAGCGCGGCGCGCAGGTCCGGCGGGCTGGTCGACATGTACGCCAGCAGCAGTTGGTCGTAATGCACGTTTTGGAAGACGGTGCTGCGGTTTCCTAGCACGCGGAAGGCTTCAGTTGCAAGAACGGTATCACCGCGACGGGCGGCCGTCGTGAGGACGTTCAAACAGAGGCCAGAAGCCGGATTGATGTACTCCGGGATGACTTGATGGTTCCATACGTATGATGTCGCTGCGTGCTGGTGAGTGGTCAGTGGTGGGCAGCATTATAACAGACTGAGTTTCTACACTCACATGGAACTTCTGGCTCGCGACGTCCAGCAGACAATACCACACATTCTTGGAAATGTTCAGCTCGCCCGCAGCCACCCGTTCCTTCATGAGGTTTAGCGCTTCGTCGATCTCTCCCTTTTGTGCAAGCAGATACACTGCCATGTCGTATAGCCACGGCTGTATGTGGATGCCTTCAACCCGCATGTCCCTGAGGGTATCCACTGCAAGCTCGAATTGTCCTTCCCTGAACAATCCTGCAGCAACATCGTGAAATCCGTCCGCGGTCAGGCCGAACCATCGCTGTCGCATATATGCTAGAACATCCGCTCTGAGGAGGTAGTCCACGTGAACAGATAGGACCTACGATCCTGTCAGCCCTGTCACACTTCACCCAAATACCCTGTCACCCAGCTTCCAGCCCGGTGTCTTTCGTCACAGCTTACCTTCAATACATCATGCCCAACGCCGACATCCATCTGCAGCCCTTCGTTCTTCATTTCTTCTAACAGGTTCGCAACCCTCCACGCCGCACCATCCCTCGGATTCACATTGACCAATATCAGGCTTGCGTACAGCCTCAGATTCGGCTGCTCCTCTCTTTCTCCGATCAAGTGTTCCACAATCTGCTGCACCTCTGCCGTCTCGCCTTTACCGGCAGATTTTCGCAACAACTCATAAAGAAACGGCGTCGACAAGCGTATCAGAGGCGTGGTCCTCTTCTTGCCCACATAGTTGCGTGGCTGTGCCGGACCTAGCGCGCCTACGTCGGCGAAGGAGAGGAATTTCGCGTTGTCGGATGCAGCAGAAGGAAACTCTGTCTCAGCGTCGCTGATGAATGGTTGGTGCAATTCGAGGGCGGCTTGTGTATGGGTTTGATCGGACGCATGACGGCGCGCGGCTGGTGTAGATGAACTCAGACATTGCAGAGCAGGTCTCCGGCTGATTCTGGAAACATAGGTTGCGTTGGTCAACGTCGCGCGAGAGAAGGACGGACACAGGCATTGCCATAGGCCGTCAATAGCGAGAGTAGACGTGGGCATTTCCCTCTGCAGATGCGAGGTCGAGTTTCGCGAATTGAACTTGGAAGCTCGATAATGCGCGATCACGTGATGGACTATGTACGACGAGGTTTCTGACCACAGCATATGCGATCCATGCATTTTTCCATTTGTGATGGTGTAAAACCGCAGGAGTTCCTTGTGCATTCTGGTTCCTCTAGGAGTATGCACCCCATCCCGCATAGTACAAGCTGTTGCTGATTTCCTCGCCATTCAGTTTGCTCCAGCCCCTCATGCCCGTTCGTAGGCCGCAAGACGGATTCTCTGCAATGGATACAGAGAACTGCGGGTTCGCGCTACGGCAGCGCCGCCGTCGGGGCTCGTAATTGTGCATCCTGATATTCTTGCGCTCAGCTGCCCCTACCCCTGCCTCCTCTACCGCGACCTCCACGTCCGCCACCCCTTCCACCTCTGTCGCCTCTTCCTCCACGATCGCCCATCCCTCCGCGTCCTCCTCTCGAAGCCTGCTGACTCTGTTGCTGGTCCTTCACTAGGTCCACAATCTCGTCCTCCAGTCGCAGATACTTGATCTGTTTGCGCCTTGATCAGCGATCTTGCCCAAACCACCACACTTACACTGTCCTCCTGTATACACATACATTGTTTCCCCTAATGTAGCATTCCGGTAACCTGAAGAAGCGGTCTCCCTCCGGGCTCGTTTGCACGACTTCTTTCAGTGTGAGGTTCATGTACGTGTCG